AGCAGTGCTTTACATACTGGGTATTTATCACTGGTGTGGAGGGTGAAACACTAACTGTACACCATACTCCCTGCCCTTTTAAAATATTAATTGATGAGTAACCATCTATGGAGCCTCATAAAGTATTAACTCTTTAAGTGGGGAAGATCTTTCCTTAACAACATAGCACAAATCCTTCATGATTTAAATCCCATGCAATCGTATTAAAATCCAAAGAGTTTCAAGCTGTTGATTTTAGTTCAGTATCTAACATTAACACCTGGTTTTGAAACCTCATGTAAGCAATATCGCTCTATTGGACCAACAGGACAGGGGAAAGTTAAACTCAACCTTCTTGACTGATGTGGGGATATACACAAATGAAATTGACATTTTGAACTTCAATGCTTTATCCTTTTATTGGCTTTCTACTTTTCAGTAACTTCCATTTTATGTACTACACATCAGGTTTGTTAGTGTTTGAACAATTGTGCTCCATCTCCTGTATTGCCATACCTGAATTTGAAGGTAATGGTCTGCATTTCCCTGAACACTAGTCACTGTGCAGTGAGACTGAAACAGACTCACTTGTTTTGCAAAATACACAGTACAGATGGCATATTTATTTGGAGGTCTAATTTCTCTCTTTTTTAATTTTTCATTTTTCAGCTGTTCAACTTACCTAATTGACCTGATTGTAAGCAATTTGTTAGGCCCATGAATTTGTGGTTCAGAGGAAAATTTTGCAGCTATGACACCAAAAATGCATGGCTGCAGTACATCACAATTATAGCTGGACTTTATGAAAAAAAAAATGTGAATGGGCAAAGCTCTGGGACAAAAAAAAATTTGTTCTTCACAAATATCCACTGATATCTACAAATAAGTAACTTTTACATGACAGATTGCCTGCAATGGCAGGGGCAAGGCTCAATACACCTTCTGGGGTGTATGAGAGAGCCTGGAAGATGTTTAACATTAAATGAAACACTAATAGCCTGAAGATCAGCAGTGCTGACCAACCTTGCTGGTGCTGGCTCAAACATCATAGATGCTCAGGCCCCTCCGGAAACTTGAAAATAGTAAGGGAATTTTTCTAAAATATACTGTATTTCCTATGAATACCCTCAGCCATTATCCACAATACAGGAATAATATATTTTGAATACATTATTGACTCACGCATAAAGAAATCAGAAGATGGGCTCTTTCTTTTTCATATAGAAATGCCAGTTAAATATAAGAAGGATAAAGCTAGCAGAGTTATCTTCCAACTATGTCAAAACATAAAGAAATATTGCCAGGTGTAGGAAACCTTTATCGAGACACACATTCCTTCAAATTTTAATTTTCTTTACTAAATTCCAAGGTATTGTTACACAAGAGGCATCAGAAATATTATCTCTGATTGCTGCCACTAGATTTCTGCTTATATTGCTAAGTTAGTGCTTGTACAAGTGTGCAATGTGTCTTTAATTGCTACCACCAAGAGGATATTTTCCCTTAGGATTCATTAGCTAATGACTTCCTCCCTCACAGAGTTGTAAATCTACAAGAGTCTTTGGCAAACTGTAAATTTGTCTACTTGGAGGCCAGATGTGAAGGACTCAAACAGGTGGGAGCCATAACTACAAACATATGTCTGTAATAAAATTAACAATTACATGTATTTGTATGGTACCATCATAAAGTTATTCTCCTCATCAAGTATCTGCTCAAGTCATACTTAGGTGTGAAGTACATGTTTTCAAGAGCAAATATATTAATTTAATAATTTAATTATTAGTTTTGCAACATTCTTAACTAAGTTCTAGGTTTTTTAGCACAGTAGCAGTATATGTAGTGCTACAGGATGGTTCACAACGTATTTGTTACCCTTCAGACAGCTATCTGAAGTTATATTAATGAGACAGTACACTGGAGGTACTATGTGTAAAGCACTTGATGATACATAATCCAAAAGGCACAGTCATGTTATATAGCAATATATATTCTGTGTTATAAAGGCAAACATGTACTTAGAACATGTAAATGGGTTTGCTCTTAGGGCCCAGGAAAAGTGGTGAATTGAAAGTTTATTTGAATTTCCTCATCCTGAGCAGTTGTGCTAAAGTCCGGGTGTTAAGGTGCTTGTGATGAGGAGGACATGCATGAGAGTCTAATCTTTCAGCCATCAGCATCCAGATGTGCTCAGCCGTAAATATGCTCCTAACCTACAGGAAAAGGTGGCGGGAGGCTTTAGCATGTATTAATGAGTGAGTTTGTTTCCTGTGTCAGGGGTGAGTGTCATTCTTCCACATTTCAGCTACTTGGTAGTAGCCCAAAGTTCTGCCTCTGAAAATCATGTTAGCCAGGAATTGCAGCATCTCCTCTGTGTCAGCTTCTGAGTACAGTCTGGAGTGTGCTGGATAAAAAGCTTTTTCTAGACTTTGGTACTACAGGGGACCACGTGCCACAGTTGTCGATGATTACACAGGACTGGAAGCGAGCTTGCCACATTAGTTCTACATTAGTTTTTCAAAATTGCTTTTCTGCTGATATGTTTTCAAATGCATTTTGAAGGTTGCTATTATCCATGTTGTTTCTGTTCCTGTATTTGAAGTCATAATAGTGTTTTGCCACAGAAACAAGTCATTGTGGGGTAATTAGATACTGTACAAACTGTTCTGCAGTAACTGCAGCAGACTTGAACTTGTTAACCTCTGCAACAGAGTACCTGGAGAAAGCTCAGCCCTCTGTGAGTGACAGGACAGCTCCCTCAGCAAGGGACACCATGGGATAAAGGCTTGCAAAGAGGCCCTTGGCACACACCGGCTTATGCCTTTGTCAAAGTCTTTAGCTTTTGAAGTACATCCATTCTCTTAGGAAAAAACCAAAACAAAACACACAAACAACATCTTCATGAAATCATTGAAAATTTTTCCATCCCGCTGTTTACTAGGACCAGAAAAAGAAAGCTTATCTCATTACACCTGTGATCAGGAGTGTTTTGACTTCATCTACTGAAATGACAATGCAGCATACTTTCTGATCATATTTGCAGATCTAAAATGTAAACACACAGATTACATGTTTACTAAAAATATCTGTGTGCAAGTAATGGCATTAAGCGCCAGTCATAGCTTTTGCCTATGCCAGGGTATTGCTTCAAATGCTCTCAAGACTGAAAATACTGATGATAATGTTTGATTATAAGCCAGTTTGTAGTCTATTTGCTCTCTAGCCAGATGCATCTAATTCCTGCTGTCACCCCTTGCAAGAGCAAGGATGAACACAGGGCAGGAAAGAACCCTACATGTCAATTTAGGACTCACGCCGGTCAGTTTGCATGGGGCACAGCGCCCTGTGACCCAGGGGGAAGGTCCCTCAAGAACCATCGTGATGAAGTGTCTGACCATGTGAGTGGCACCTCCAGCTCCATAACCACTTGCCCAGCACTGAGTGAGGACGGTAGCTGGGAGCACAGGGAGCACACAGCCCACCAGGCCCTGTGCACGGCCCGGCATGCATGAGGAGCTGGTGCTGGCAGTGCAGCAAAGGCTCCGGTTACTTTTGGGACCTCACTGGGGGACTGAGCTCCCCACTGGCCAAATTACGATTCAGCAATTCCAGGGAAGTGCTCTCAGGGATGGGGATTCAGGTACGATCAAGCAGATCCTTTTAGAGCGTGGGGTTAAACCAATAACTCATTTACTTTTCATTTCCCATTATCCAGTAATACTGGGACAGTGTCCCAGTACTGCTGAATATATAGAGAGAATAGTGTGAATAGTGTATGCTATTGCTGCTGGGAGAGATCTTTTCTTTTAAAGAGGCTGTTTTGCATAGGAAATACCTTAGCTCTCCTCCTTGGAGTATAGCATCTAATGAAAAAAATAAAAAAAAATCCCAAAACCCACGTCAGGACTCTACCCACACAGACAGATAATTTTGACTCGCTCTCCAGAAACCTAGCTATAACTGTGGAATAACGTAGCAGTCTTCCCACATTAGACGCAGGCAGACACTGCCTTTAAACTCGGGCCAGCACAAACCTTCCCTGTCAAGTAGCTGTTTTGCTCATACAGCACCTCCTAAGGCTCTACCCAGATGTAAGCTCCTAGTGACAAGGACCTCCCTATTTCTACATGTTTACACAGCACATAGCATCGCTACAAAGTTAACAGGAAGATCTGTATGTAAAGTCCAGTGCTATCAGGACATCAGTTGTAAGTAAGTAATAGAGGACCAGTAAAAGCAAATCATCCAGGTAAGATGCAAAGAACATTCATTATGTGAGGTTACTGCTTTTCTCCCTTTACCTCTCTATCTTCCAAGCAACATACTGGCAGGCAGAAAAAACTTTTCACATGCAGGACAACCAAAATTCAGAGGCTATACCATTTGAGCTGGAAGTTGGTTTTCAGCAAGGTTAATTGAGCCACATTTAAAAATAAATAAATAAAAGGCTGTGAAAAAGAAATAATTTTCTAGGCAGTGTACATAAGGATTCTTGTTCAAAACTATCACACCCTGCTTCAATTGCTGGCTCGTTAAACAGTGAAAGTTCACTGATGGGTCTGCCAGAGAAGGTGAGGCAGGTGAAACACCCCAAGCCCCCAGGCAAAATTCTCTTCTCTGAACCTGTGGGAAAAATCAATCTATCCAACCACCAACGAAACCCTTTAAGTGATTTGATGCTTGGTGTGAAAATACCTAACAACATCTATTGGCATCGATCCCTGCCCTGAGCCCCACGACTCCCCCAGACCCTTAGTATAATAAGGAGGAGAAAACACAAGCCAAAAACCCCAAGCCCAAACATTTCAAAAAGGCAGGTATTTTCCCAGTTCAGACTCCTGAGCTGCCCAGGTGACAGGGAGGATTCAGAAGTAGCAGTGTCACAGCAGGCACCTCAATCAGAGGTGGCTCGTCGCACTCTAGAGAATGGTCCTGGCACAGGGCTCCAAATGAAAATCAAGGCAACACATCTCTCTTCAAAACAGAGTAAAAAAATAAAAATAATCACGTTCTCTGAGTACCTTGGATTCCTGGCTGGTAGTTGATGCTGGAGAGGGGGGCTGCTCTGTGTTCTCCACCTCATTCTCTCTCTCCACACTCTCCACGCTGACTTCAGCCGTGCTGCTCGGAGGAATCATTTCACCTCTAAAAGACTGCTGCTATCAGAAAACAGCTACAGACCTTTCTCGCCTTTTTTCATTCAACCTCCTCTTTCTTCTCTGCTCCTCTAGAGCAAATGAACTCCGACCGCTTGGTTTCACTACATTTGCAAGACTAGAATTCTCTGGATTTTCTTTTTTTCCTCCTCCTCCCCCTCTTTCCACCCTCCCCTGTGCGATTCCGCTGCGAGGGGGGTCAGTTAGCGATGGCTCCGTAGGTCAGCGGTGTGCCTGGTGTGTGTTTCCCCGATCCTCCTCCTCCGCGTGAAGCCCGGAGGTGTGGAGCAGAGTCGTGACCGTCAGCCCCGCGATCCGAAGGGAGTGAGCCGAAGCAGAAAGCCCGAGCCACGCGCACACACGCAGGGCACTGGAGGGAGGAGTTGTATTTCTAATGCTGTGAATAGCTTTGGGGGAGCATGTGCTGTCATAGTAGTGAAAGAAAGTAATGCGCGCATGCACGCACGCACACACAGAGGCAGGCAGTGTGTGTGAGGTCTGGAAGCGTTTTACCTTTTAACGGGCTGGAGATGGCAGAGGTTGAAGAGCAGCTTTATATTCTTACAAGTCTTTTCCTGAAGAAGGGCTCTAGAAACAGAGGAGAAAAATGAGTCTTCCGTTACCTTGTCCCAGAAAAAATAATTTAAAATCCTAGCTTCCCAGTGTCTCTAAAGCTCCCACCTTTCCTTACATCCCAAACTTGCTAGCAAGTGACAGGACGGTCAGGGGAGAGTCACCTGTGGCTCCACGTGTTCCTTACTCCCCTCCCAGGCAGGCAAGCCCAGCTCTGAGCCATGCACACGCAATCAGGGTCATCTGGAGCTCCTGCTATGGCACACATCCTATACCTGTAGGTTGTCATAGTGATAACACTCCATCCGGCAGCAACAGAGCAGAGGGAAAGGCCTCCTGGCTTCCCCTGGTGCTATCATTCCGGAGGATGCAGCACCTGAAGTCGTGCTTGGGGCTGCAGTAATCCGGGCAGAAGGTCAGCACGACTTTGCTGGCTGGCTTAGATTGCTTTACATTGCCTCTGATTTAAATCTGCTGCAAAGGTGCCTGTCAGCTCTCTTCCCTGATGAATTAAGGTCTGTAACGTGAAAGGCTGAATGGATGTGCTCCCCACCAGATAGATGCTTTGCAGGGTGGGAGCCACTCCATATGGCTGGTGGAGATGCCTCTTTCATTTAAAGGAAACAGAAAAAAGCAAACCGAGTATGTTTCCAATAAGGAATACTTACATTCTGGAAAATGAGAAGGAAAAAAATTGTCACTATACTGGAGGTACAGGTATTGGCTGGGAGGTGATTTGCTGAAGTCTGAGTGAGAGAGGGGCTCAGTACCTGGTAGCTCTGGGAGAGGGTACCAGATTCCCTCTCAACCCCATCCCTTAGAAAGACAACTGCTACCTGGAGTTGCCTTGCAGTCCCCCTCCACCTCAAATAATCTGTGTGTGTGAAAGTGAAGGCAGTTTTCACGATAGCAGGGGTTGGACGAAAGCCAGAACAGAAGTTGCCCTGCAGCCTCTGCGTTCTTAATAGCTATGCAGAAGCCAGGACAAAACCAGCTTTTCTTTGAATCCCTGATGAATTTTCAGGACTGACAGTCAGATGGGGGAAAAAAAGCTTTACTTCTTTGAAGATACTGAAATCTTTAGCAGACAATAAACATGAAATGCTGCAAGGCTATTTGTACAGCTTCTTCAGAGCAAAAGTGCGTCTTAGGAGTCCGTCAGTAGAACCCCTTATTTGGCCTGTAGTCACTAACACCATTACAGAGACCAAAAAGAGACCAGTGGTTGCTGCTGAGGCAGTGTCAGTGGCAACTGAGATTGAAGGAAGGAAATACAGAGCTCAAAGGGACAGATTTGGCAAGTAAGTAAAAGAATTTATTTCCAATGGTTTGATTTCTAAAATACAGAAGCGTCTTAGACTCTTCAGAGCCAAGGGAATTCTCCAGGTGTAAAGCTCATTTCTTCCACTCAGCAAGTGAGATTTGGGCTTTGCTGTAAAATCAGCCTCTTAGCAATGAGCAGGGACTGGGCAGAGTCACAATTTGGGAGAATTAGGGCAGCTGTGGGCAACTGAGATCTTGGCAGTGTGACAGTGATTGAATGCTCCAGCTCTGGCAGTGGTGTCCCTCCCTGATGATCCAGCCTAGCAGAGCCAAATTGGGGTCAGAACATGGGGTCTGCCCCCTGTAAGGACTGTTCCGCGTGCTCAGCGATGTGACAGGTCAGAACCATGATAATAATTTTTGTCCAGTTCCCCAGCAGTGCTGTGAATCAGTCTTTCCTCTTAAGAGGCTCAAAAACTTCTGGTGAACTTGTTGGTCGCCACTGAAATGAACCTGGTGTGGTTGGTTAATAGTTAATGCTCCAAGTGTTGTAAAACCCTGCACACATTTTGTATGAAAAGCTTGTAACGTCATGACTGTGTAAGTGACTATCATACCCCTCTCTACTCTTTTTTGGGTTTGGTTTTTTTTTTGTTTTACCAAATTAGTACTGACACCTGCTGCACTCCCTCTCTTCTCCCAATTACTCACTTGTCAACCACGACTGATCTGTCAGTTTCTTGACAATTAGCCTGGGAAAGATGAGTCAAACCTAAAATCTTACCAAAAAAACAAAACGGAAAAGACGCTGGATTTCTTACCTTTTTATTTCCTTCCACAGGAGCTGGCTATTGAAAACCAAATACTCGGTATAACAAAACAGACTGATCAAATTAAGTGAGCCTACACCTCCCTCTCTCTCTCTCCCCCGCTTCACTCTGGAGAAGTTGGACTTGTGATTATTGCCGATCAGTCTGTAAGTGAAGGTACTCAGCGGAAATGGGAGCACTGCAGCACAGTGCTAAACAAGAGGAAATTGAACAGATTCTCTAGTGAAGAGATGAGCATAGCTTTCTGGAGTGGGGAAAGGCAATTTGGATGAATAAAACATGAGAGCCCATTCTCAGCCCACAGCTGAAGTTGTTGCACCACGTAAAGGCATTTGAACGTTGCCTGGAGGCATTGCCAAGCACTCTCCTGCTGGGTGGTTGGAGGCTGACTGCATGGGTGCTATGCCTTGTCTGTCCTCCCTCCCTCCCTCCCACTCTCTGGCAGCACACACAAAGGTGACTCGGTGTGATGCAGAGCACCCCTCAGCAGTTCTTCCTAAACTGTGGCTGCAGATGGGTGGTACAGAAG